ATATAGATGTTATAGAGACATAAACAGTGTTACAGCTTCCCTGCTGACCAATTCCGCGATTGTTACAGCTTTATTTTCAGTTTGGCAGTTTTCTTACAAAATATTTGAAGTTTTCAAACCTGAATAAGCATTTTCCAAAAGACGATAGTTAACATGCAAAAAAACTGTAACTCAATAAAAACCTTTATTCATTTTGAAATGTCTGTGAAAAAGTCGGTGCAATCACGATGAAATAGTTCTTTTAATACCGTGTAAAACAGTGTGGTCAAAATATTTAGACATTTTGTGAGATACATTAACAGAAAATAAACTTCAATTATACACAGTACAGGACAATAGTAATGTAGTCTTAAAAGTGCCGGGAATCACAACACATGAAGTTCATCCTGCCCCTTTGTCCAGTTAGCCTAATCATTCTCTTGCCTTAATATTACTCTGGCGGGTTTGTGTGTGTGTGATGGTTGTGGGCGGGATTTACTCCAAGTCCCCACCCTGGTCACCTGTGGATCATCATCCACCTTCTTGAGGCAGTGGCTGACAGTCACTTAACTCTAAATCATTGACCTGCCTTGTGAGTGAAACCATCCCTGAGATATCTGACTGTGTTCTCTACAACTTCTGGCAATTAATTGTATGTTTCCCTGTGCACAGGTCTTCCCTGGTGTCCCATCTCTAAGGAATGTCGAGAGTGTTCCTGTGTTTCCCTCCCTCTGGATTAACATTCTGATTAATTTTGTGTTGTTTTGTTGCCTTTGAGTCTTTAGATGTGAGTCATGCTCACCAGCTCAAGACTGAACAACAATAACAAAAAAGACAAATCTTTACTTTTGATTGTGTAGGTAGAATACCCCGCCTATAGACAGAACAGTTTTCATAATAGAAAGTCTGAGTTTTCTTGTTTGTTTGTGTGTCAGACTTTAAGGATGTTGATATACACCTTCCAAATAAAGTTAATGGGTGGGTCATTGTGTGGTAAAAATCAAGAACGCTTGTAGACACATTTATATTTTTATTTTATTTATTTATAACCTTTATTTAATTGTAATATAAACCTTGAAGTTATTTATAAACTCAGCTGAACATTGAGACTTTGACACCACATAAAAAAAAGACAAAGAAGAGGTGACCCATCTACCAAAGGCCTTCTGGAGGGACATTGGTTCAACTCTGCCCCAGACTATTTTCTCCATGTTTTCATTCTTGTCCTACTTTCCTCTCACGTCCTACACTTTCCTACCAAATAAAAATAAACTGCCTGAAATAAAGCCTCACACAACACACTGAACCGTGAAACAGATGAACTACAGCAAAACAAGATAACACTGGGTACAACTACTAACAACCCAGAACATGAAACTGATACATGTATAATTCATACAAGTCTAACCCAGTAACAGCAAATGCTGTTGTAATAGCTCCAGTTTGTTGTTTACCATTGTCTTGCTGAAATAAGCAAAGTCTTCAATTAAAAATATCACTTCAGGATGAGACTATATGTTGCTATAACATCTGTATACCTTTCCATACTGACAGTTGCTATTTTCAGATGTGCAAGCTGCTAATTCCACTGGCACTGATGCACCACCATACCATCAGAATGCAGGCTTTTGAAGTAAGCACTGTTAACAAGTTGGATGTACGATGATGTCAGCGTTGAGTGTGACAGTGTGGGAAAGTGGAACCGATGTAAGGAACTGATTAGAGACTGATGGAGATGACATCAAGCAATGATCAGTTGATCCTGATTTTACTAAACAAAAAAAGGAAGAAACATCCCGTTCCCAATATTAGGCAGCAGCCGTGAGAATTTAATGGTTTAATCCAGGAGTTGAAGTAGTTGTATAAATCAGGACGACTGCTTTCTGACATATTTCAGGATATCGGAGGGACAGTTTGACCTCTTGTTGGCAGAGTTGGGATCACATGTGAGGAGGAAGAGAAATAATTTCAGAGAGCTGATTGTGAGCTGCTCCAGACACAACAACAGTCAAATGTTCTGCCTCGTGCACGCTTTTATTGTGTCACCATTAGATGTGTGGAAAAACCGAAACTGATCTGAAAAAATAAAAACCACAAATTTGTCTTGTGTAATTATGCATTTGGTGTGCATAACTGCATTAAGAATGGGTGAGCCCAAGATATTTTTTACATATTAAATATTTGCACATATTTGACACATCTGCTGTGCAAAGGCCTTAAGATGAGAAACTCAGTTTTCAGTTCCAGAACAGCAGCGTTCGTTCAAACTCTGAATACCTTCACCCTGAGTTAAGAGTAGAGAAAGCAAACTTGGTGTTTTCTCAACCAGTTGCAGATCCTTTGCTTACGTAAACATACTAATACAGCAGTCTGCAGCGATCACATCAGTCAGTCAGACTGTTTGTTTTTCTTTGTATCCCTGGACAATATTTCCACCAGGATTCCAGATTCAGCTAACTGCAAAGGGATCGAGAACACAGGCCAAAATCACACAAACAGTAGTGAGGCATAGTGCCGTCAATCTGTTTGCTTATTGCACCACCATTACAAGTTACATAACAATGCCGCATTTCATTTTTAACAACCTCTTTCAGGCTTATTTGAGCTGTAATTATAGCTGTGATCAGGCAAAATGCAAACTTTTGCTTTCCTGTTGCAGGTGATTCAGCACGATTCAAGCTGTTGGATCAAACGGAGTGTGACGAATCAAATTAAGTTCTGCTGTCCAAAGGTGATGTAGAGGGAGTGACTCGGTGACTCACCTCATTAAAGATTTTATTGGATACAGATTTGACTGGACCAGCAGGAGAGGCAAAGCGAAAAGCTCCTTATGAATTCCTTTTTCTGTTCATTTCATAGCCGTTAGTGTTTGATTCAGATTTGTGTAAGTGTGTGTCAGGAGTAATATAGCTCTGCAAAGTGTGAAATGGAAAAAAGTGAATATTGAGTGGTGCTCCCATTTATTTGGTCAGCATGCCTTCTGATACTCTGCACTTGAGACTGAAGAAAATTTAAAAAAAATAACTAAATAAACTTAAAAGGCTAATGGCCAAAAAACAAACAACGCTTCTGGACCCACTTCATATTTCCTTTTTGCATGATAGAGTGTTAGCTGCCATCTGCAGACGGCAAGGCAAATTGTGTTAACCAACAGAGGTTTCTGGAGGTATTCATGGGCCCATTTAGTAATGTCAGCGACACAGTCATACTGATGAGTGATGCAGTGTTGTCTGAGGGCCCGAAGACCATGAGCATCCAATAAAGGTCTTTTCCATTACACACAGAGCAATCTCCAGCTTCTCTGAATCTTTTGATAATTTTATGCACTGTAGATGATGAGAGTTGCAAAGTCTTAGAACATTGAGTAACATTGTTTGTGTCACAACAGGACTGAACGGACTCTCGTGTGGGGTCTAGGTCTTGAAAGCACAAGAGTCTTTATTATGATACACCAGGTGATTATTTACAAAAGTGAGGGGAAAGCCGGGCTCTGGGGGTCCACACATGAACGGGAAAGACGCCGAAAGTCTCACACACACTCCGTCCACTCCTCACGCTCCTCTTCACACTCCAATCACTCAGGTAACACAGGGGTTGGTCCAGGGAATCTGTACACAGAGACACGAAGGGATTATAACGGAACTGGCCGACGGGTGAGCTCCGCCCAGGCAGAGGGAGGAGGGAAAGAGGGGAAGGGAGAGAGCAGGAACAAAAAAGAATATAAAAACATATGTAGCCATACTGAGCTGACCGGGTAGGCACAGGGACCCTGACAGTTTGGACTGGAGAGCCTCTCTAAGATTTCCCTTTTATAGCTAATCATGTTACAGACCTGATATCAGTTAGCTTAATTACTTGCTGGATGTTCACCGAGCTAAGTCCTTTTTAAATTTCTTGCTTTTTCAGTCATTTATTGCAGGTGTCAAATTGGAAATGAGCTCATTTTGTGAATTAAACTGTAAAGTTTCCAAACCTCATGTGTCATTTATGGTCTGTTGTGAATAAAATATTGGCTCTGAAAGTCTTTTAGTTTTCATTTTGTTCAAATTAAAAGATTGTCCAAACTTTTCTGGAATTCAGGTTGTATAAACATCTACCATTAGCCCAATTGTAACCAAGTCGTACTAAACATTTCACAAATAATACTTACAGGCAAATCACAGAGAACAAACGTAGTTGTTGTTAAATCTGATAGTTAACACTCCAGCGTCGAACTGCAAAGACATCTGCATAATTTTCTAATCACAGACCTGGAATTCCTTGCTGTGATCTGAGACTGCATAAAGCCTTATGGGGAAAGAAGAAAAAAATACACAAGCATGAGTCATTTCTTATGAAGTGCTAAAAATTCAAATATATCCAGAGTAGGATATTCACTTTAATCTATCAAGTTAAAATAGAAAGTTGTCCCTAGATGTTAAGGCTTTCCCTAATAAACACCTCCAGAGCTTCAGCAGAGATCAACGACTATATAAAAGACAGAAGACTTGGCATGACTTCCTCCCATTGTACAGAAATTAGTGTAGAACTGAGACATCTGGGTTTCCACCTTATATACCTGCCTTTTTGTTTGTTTGTTTGTTTGTTTGTTTGTTGGGACTTGAACACACTTACATTTGTACATCTGTGCGAAGCTGGCAGTGTTAAATTTTCCTCAAAACCTCACTGTGGGAATGAGAAGTGACTGGTGCACACCCATTTAAGGTTTTTGAACCTTAAAGGAAAGAGAGAGAATTTACATGTAATTTTAGACATTTGTTTGCACAGAAAGGTTTTTGAAAGAGATTTTTCTCATCATTAATACATTGTGCGTAAATGATCAGGATTTATTATTATTATTATTATTATTATTATTATTATTATTATTATTATTATTATTATTTCAATATTGGTTTGACAAGATGGACAAACCAAACAGTTTATGAAAAGTGTGATGGAGACCTTTGCTTTGTGTACGACACATCGTCCTCAGATAAAGCACAGAGGCTCTGGACTTTTACATATTGATGTTATATTCAGTCCTGTAGAAAGTTATACAGTTATGGCAGTGCACTAGTAAACACTGTTTATTGATGATGTGACATAGGACAGAAGCAGCCGAATGATTTCTGAGGTGTTTAGAGACACACTGTCTGCTCAAATCCAGCTTAACCAATTGTCTGGCATTTGATAATACAGATGGAAAACATATAGCCAAAGCAAACAAAAAAAACTTTAACAACATGTTTATTACATATGTTGTCACATTTGAAACATTGGGCATTTTTGGCAACTTTTTGTTAAAAATTAATTTTACAGAACAAAAGAGTTTTGTCCATAACATTTTGCAATTACAGAACGTGTTTGTACCGTTTGTCCTTTAAGAAACGTTTGTTTCAAATATGATACAAATGGCATTCAAGGCCTAAAGCAAAGTGGAATATTCTTGAATGGCCGAGTCAGTCACCTGATTTTAACGTAACTCAGCATGCATTTCACTTGTTGAAGACTAAACTTCATACAGAAAAGCCTACAAACAAACAGCACCTAAAAGCTGCTGCAGTAAAGGCCTTGCAGTGCAGAGCACTAAAAAAAAAAAGGAATCCGGGCAACACGCACACAACACGCAGCACCTCCATAAAAAAGGCCAAAGCCGAGGTCCTTCAACGTCTGCAGGAAGCTCCTGAGGATGTTTTACCAGTCGGTGGTTGCTGGAGTACTGTTCTATGCTGTGGTGTGCTGGGGGAGCAGCACAGAAACGAAGGACGTGTCCAGGCTGGAAAAACTAATCAGGAAGGCTGGCTCTGTGGTCGGCATGAAGCTGGAAGAAACTGTTGGACATTATGGACAATGCCGGGCATCCTCTGCACATGGTCATAAACAACCAGAGGAGTCTGTTCAGACTGTTTAACTCCTCACTGGAGAGGAGAGGGAGGGGAAACAGGAGGTCAAAGGAGGGCATTTTAATTCTAAGTTTTCCCTGCACGTGTGAGTTTGTGTGGTTGTCTCTCTCTTTCTCAGATAGACTGGCATCTCGTCCTGGATGTACCTTTGAGTCATGACAGCTGGGAGAGGCTGACTTCATGCAAAGCTGAGATGGTTGAGCGATAAATTTCTTTCTAAAGCTGCACTGAGTCACACACAGAGAAATCTTTTGAACATCTTAAGTCTCAAACATTTTAAATAAGCATTTAAATCTGAAATATAAAAACCAAATAAAATTATTTTTAAGAAAATCTAATAAAATATATACATATATATATAATAAATTAAATACTTACTGTCAGTGCAGCTCTGAAAACACAGACAGTAATACAGTTATTTAGTCAAAACATACAAACGCACATAAGAATAAAGGCACTGTTTGCACCACTTGTATGAAACATTTGATTGAATATCAAATATTTACACTTTATGAACTTTATCAAATGAGAAGTAACAGACATGAAACATCAAATTCTAAGAGCATAAACATCAAAATGTTGGAAACATGTTGAAGGTAAATGTGTTTCATATTTCTCACCTTTATATTTTCTCCTCCAGATAAAGACTCCAGAGAAGCAGACAGTCAGGAGGAGCAGTATTCCCATAATCCGGAAAACAACACCAGCAGGGAAGACTGAAGAACCTGAAACCAACACATTTACATTCTGTAGTTCATCTCACTGTTGGACCAACGTTCATTAAGACCACACCAGTCATTTATCTATAAAACACCACAGGAACTAAACTACACAATGTTTTAATGTAGATTAGTGAATAATCGAACTATATTACAGTTTGATGTTTAGCAGTTACACTGAGCCAGTCATCAACAACAGGTGAATAAACACAGTATCACAGCAGGTTTGATTCTTCCATGTTATAAACAGATCACATAAAACCAGAAAAAAAAAATCAGGGTCACTAAAACCACATTAAAATTAAAGTTTGTAGTTTTTACCTCCCAGTGATGATGATGAAAGACGAAGATCAGTGTAATCTGAGCTG